AGCTGTTACTTAGCCAATCGAAGCCAAACTGTAGAAACCTGTTCATTAGTGCTCTTTCTCGTCATGGAAAAATATTCTTAATAAGATTAAATATCCATACCTTCTATATACTCGTTCCCAGTCCTTCACTCGTTTCTAAAGTGGCCAATTAGAATGTAGAGCATGTGAGTAAAGGGGTAGACTTGCCCCAAGTCGACCTCTCTTGTTTTCCCGGCGTTTTTTTAATTCGAGCGCAGCGAGCGAGCGACGAAGTCGCGAGAGTTCGACTTGTCGAACTTGCAGGATATTCACTTGCGTTTCCCGCCATTTCCGAATTTGATACGGGAGTGTCGGTTTTCGGGGGCGGAGCTAAAGAATTGTGGTTTTCATTTATTTGTTTCTCCATGTTATATCCGGAGCAGCAAAACATGGTTTATCAATAATAATGGTTGATGCTATAACTCCAACTAAAACTGTTGAAAGGATAGTGATATCTCCAGCATCCAAACAAAAAATATGCTTTCTTTGCGCTAGTCAAGTTCCGAACAATGACTATAGACGGAAATTGTTTAGTCGTCTCCAACATAGGAAGCAGAGATCCCCTTCGATTTTAAAGACTTTACTTGGTCTTTCATTAAAGAGACCAAAGGGACAACAACAACAACAACAACAACAGTCTCGATGAAGTTTTTCTCACCGAACCTCAGAAAATCTAAGGCGAATGGAGCGATCTCAAATGTCAGGCTTTTTCCCGCTCCTGTTGGTGCAAATATAAAAATTTCTCTGTCTGAAAGATACGCTTCTATACTTTGTTTCTGGTATTCTCTTATAGTTTCGTATCCTAATTTACTTTTACCGTATGATATGGCCTTGATCTCATGTTGTTAGACAGATGTTGTGTTGACAGATGCCGATGGGAATCGTAGAGATAATCTTACTAATCTTACATTGTGATTGACAGCTTGGATTTCGAGCATTGTGATTGGCTATAATTTACCGACTGATTTTTGGGTCGGTAAATTTGGCGGGAAGCAAGGTCGAAAAGTCCGTCGTGCGCCCAGTAAAAAAAGAACAAAGCGGGCGGCGGACTTTGCGAAAGTCTAGTAAAGGGGTTCTCTTGCTTTTCTACACACMACAGGTAGTCCTCCAAAAAGATAATACCCCAAAGTACTGGGAGAAGCTTTTGGAGGACCAACTAATGATAACTTGTCACAAAAATGATGCGTTGCAAGTTGCAGTGCRAAAAAGTTCCTGGAATTACCACACTGTGTGCAAATATTTTTTTATATCTCAAATAGTAGAGTATGTTGTGTGATTTTGTTTCTTTTATCTCCACATAAACCTTTTAAAAGTGGCTGTTGAGAACCGAATGGGAATGACAATTTTCACATCAAATTGTTTCTTATTGCAGCTGTATTTTTGGACTAGTACCTTGGTTAGCCCATGCAACTTGTTTTTTCCCTAGTTTAGCTTGAAAACCAAACACAGGTCTATTGCTGGTCAGACCTTTGGTCTGTAGGGGTTGGTGTTGAGGTGTAGGTGTTTTCTTTGATCCTGTGTAGTAGATGGATGTCCTCTTGGAAGAAACACCACTAATAGTGTTTGGTGCACTAATACTAGGATAGAAAATATCAACATGATCATCAATAATTCATCATAGTAAGAATCAGTGTTCATCCGCATAATTATGAAGGAAATCAAGTGCAAGGCTGGCACACTCAGTGGTACACTCGCATCTCATCTATGGGGTCTCTTGTACATCTCAATGTTTTCTCTCTAAAACTTGTTTTTCTAATAAGAGTATAGTATGTTTGGTATCTTCCTTGATTCAAGGGTCTTTTTCTGGCTTCTATGATTGTATAGTTCCAGAAATTATCCATACCAGCCCCCATCATGAAGGAAATTTTTAAATTTTTTTAAAGAAATTAAAAAATGCAATACAGAATATTCTTAAAAAGTCAGTCAAAAATACACGCTTACAATTAGCCATTCCAAAGTTGGCAGTGCATTTTAGGGGCCTTTTAGGGGACATATTTCCAAGATGGGGGCTATATTTATTGGTAGGAAAGCCGCGAAATCGCTCTGTGTATGATGCAATGATGTACTCTCATGGGTATTTCCTACACACTCTCACAGTCAGCCACGTCAGATTATTTGGGTACTTTAGAGGTTTGCAAGTAAGATTCCTGGCCTTTTGACTCATCCACACAAACCGTTGTAAAGGGCTTCRGCCCTCCCGCCTCCCCTTTAGCGACGTAGCACATAGCTAGTAGCCTTGCAAAAGCCACCCATTGCCTCGCCAAAATCAGTTCCCATAACTTAATCACACAAAGACAATGAGCGGTAGGAATATCAGTGAAAATGGTTTACTATTTCAACCTCTAAAACAGCCCCACAGTGCACTGCAGTGACAACTTGATCCAGTTTTCTCCTTAACCTTGGAATGGGTAATAAGCATAATAATAACTACATAGTATGTTTACCCTTTCTGTGCAGGTCCAGCATAGGTGTTCCGTGTCAGAGGATGAACTTCCTCTTGCACCTTCAATAAAAAAAACTGTTTGTTAATTGCTTGATCAGTTGTGTAGATAGTGAGAGCACTTCATTTTCATAACATCAAATTTTCAATATCACATGAAATTGTCTAAGACACTGGAAAATGCTCACTATTTCAAGGAAGCTTGAAAAATAGAGGAGCTTGGAGAGACAGGCCTATATCTCATATGTGAATTTATTAAGTAATAGGCAGAGAAAGGCTAAACATTATTAGAGCTATACTGGGGCAGGCATGTAATATATACTTTTAGTGACAGTCAAAACCATACCATGTTTACATGTAGAATCCCCAAATTAAGCTTCATATGAGAGCAAAAATATTAGAGTGCCACCATCAAATATAAAATAAGCACTGCATTCAATCACAACGATGCGGTGCACAATTATTGAAAAGTCATTGGACTAAACTGTTCATTTTGTTAAAAAAATACAAGCCCATTTTGTTTTCTTTTTGCCACCAAAATGAGACAACAGTAAATGACAATTAAAACATGTATATATATTGTTACTGATAGACCCACATGTCATACATGTACATCTGTATGTCAATACAATGATTGTCAATACACCACTAGCTAGTTTGGTTGAGTATATGTAACAGGGTTCCCAGCCATTTTGAAAATAAAAATTCCCTGACTTTTCCCTCAGACTAAATAACAGTTTTCACTGACCTTGTTGAGCTTTATGGGAAAGCATGGGCCATTTACCTAGGCCCCGCTCTTATCATATTACACAGGATACCCAATATAATTAAACTGTCCAGCATAAATGATACTAAGTACTTCAATATTGTTTTCATTATTTGAAAAGATTTATCAGTCTATTCAAAAACTGCAAACAGTATCAGTATCACACGGATACTCATAGTTAACTTTAAACAAAATTCCCTGACTTTTCCCTGACTTTAGGTGAAAATCACAATTTCCCTGACTGAATAAAAAATCCCCTGACTTTTCCCCTGGGGGGTACTCCGCCAGAATTTGGGTGGGGGAGTTCCGCTGGGATTCTGAAAGGGGTACCTTGTTTATGACAAAAAAACTCAAATTTGTAGACCCTGTTTATGACAAAAGATATAATTTATTGCACCGAGTTCCTGTTAAAATTACCATGTCATCTCGCGTATCGTTTTTTTACAACCATAATAACCAGTTTCCGTCAATACGAAAGTAGAAACCCTGAATATGACAGGAAACTCAGGAAGAACTTGGAACTTGAGTGAAATTGCATACCCTGTTTATGACAAGAAGCTCAAAAAACCACGCCCTGTTCAGCGGATCATCCCCATATAGTCCATATATGGGAGTACCCTCCCCCCCCGGACTTTTCCCTCACTGTGTTTTTCCCTGACTTTTCCCTGACCCCTGGGAACCCTGTGTAATATACTGAACAAATCCCTTTACACTTACACTTACCTGTATTCCTGTATTGTTTAGAATTCCCTGCAAAGCGTTGTTATCAATCTCAAAACCAAAGTCATCTTCCTCTTGTTCTTCTTCAATATTTTCCTTGTCTGATGAATCATTGTTTTTACTGGATAGAGCGTTCTGGGTTTGTACTTCAGTCAAGACAAAAGGGCTGACCTGAAGACAAGGAACAATAATCATTATTCAATACAAAATCAGTTTTACAACGGATCTCACCGAACTGTAGCCTCCTTTACAGAYGACACAAATAACATCTGCAAAGGAGGCTAACCGAACTGTGGTGACATGTCAAAAATTTGTCTCGCTACCACACCCTAATTTGTCTACTGACACGCCTACTTTTGTCACTGTCTCGGATCTAGCACATTTCCAGTAAGGTATTCACTGTAATACATGTAACAAAAGTAGGCGTGTCAGTAGACAAATAAGGGTGTGGTAGTGAGACAAATTTTTGGCGTGTCGCCACAGTTCGGTGAGATCGGTAGTACACATTTAATTTACTTCATCGACAAGACTGTGGGATTGTACCGTACTTATAGTTTACAACTAACACTCCCCGTACAAGACTCTTCTGCAAGTTTCAATCCACACACACATGTATTGATTTCTATGGAGGGAGGAAAACTGGACAAAAATCCTTGTGGCAAGAGAGAAAACAGCATGATCAAACAAACTCAACTGACATGTGGCATTTAATAAAAAATATAATATGTACCTTAGTATTGGATTTTTTAGCAACAGCTTTTCCCTAATGCAAGGTAATAGAATAATTTGTTAGAATATTATCAAGATCTTTTATAGGGCTGTTTTAACTAATATATTTGTGATCGCATTTGCAATCATCTTTATGATATTCGCAATAACGATTCCACCAAACCAGTTTCCCGCCATTTTAATCTAGCTAACCATTCTCTTTCTGACTTCATTGTTTTCRGTCTTTCTTTGATTAACGGCAACAATGATTGTCGCAAGACCAAAGAAATGCGGCTTATTCACCTATTGGGCACTCTTAGTCCCAACGGGATTAATGAACGCTTTACTTTCAACTAACCTTTTCTTTTGTCTTTTGATTGTTTGTTTTTGTTTCCTTGCCTACCTTGCTCTCATTGGTTTCTTTTGTCTTATTCTATCATATATACACTCCTTTCTACAACTTCTTCCTCTTTTACTCCGACGAAGGACTAGCGTCCGAAACGTCAGTAAGTTTTTTCATCTTTTCACGGTGTATAATTTACCTTTTCATCATTACTGTTTCATTAGAAACACCGACGCAGCTCACACTAGTTTTTAGCTAGTTATATCTTAATATTTTTTTTTGTTTATTCACTCCTATATAAGACTAGACGGCACTCTATAAAGATCAGGAGATGTATAGGGTCATACAGAGTTAAAAAGCAAATTACAAATAGTATCAATGAAAATTGGTATAAAAATTACAAACCTTTYGAAATTTACTGTTCCAGTTATTATGAAGTTTGGAAAAGTCAGGAGCAGGTTTGGCTTTTGTAGCCCGCTTTTTCTATWAAAAAATACAAAAAAATCAAGAAATAATCAAGTGAGAGAAAAACATAATATCCCATCAAGATTTCTAGATAGAACAACTTGCAATAAAGAATAAATAAATAAATAAATAATAATAATAAATACAAAAAAAAAACAATAATGAATAAGAATAAATTTGATTTTTGCTTACTGGTTCAATATTTTCTTTTCCATGCTTCTTTATTAGAATCCTAGTATTTTGTGTTTTGCCTTGAGCACTGAAATAAAGGTTGAACTAATTTAATAATGATGAAATAAAGATTCCAGAGAAAGAATAGTCCCTTTCACAGTTCCCTGCACCATCTTGAAAGGTGCCTGTGCCTTTACATTGAAGCGAGACGAACGGTGAGTTTAAAATGATAGATACCTTTTTTAACACCTTGAACAATTATTCACAGGTCTCTATCATTGCAAGCTCACCGTTCGTCTCGTTTTGATGCAGATGCACAGCTATCTTTTGAAGATGCCACAGGGAAATGTGAAGGGGACTAGTATGATATAGGTTTTGAGCATTCCATTACATTTTTTTCTTCAATTAAATATACTAAGTGAATTTTTCCTAAGAATCTTCTAAGAAACCTTATYAAATAGCTCATCTTCAAAAAGATTTGTCATAAAGACTGAAACATATGTAGTAACACCATAAAAATGTTAAATAATCACTTGTCTTCAGGGACTGCAGAGCATAATCTTGATTGGGGGGGGGCTAACAACTGTAGAAGCTGGTGGAAACCCACGAAAAAAGTTTTAATTTGAGACCCTTGGAGTGTCTTGAAGGGCATTTGCATTGGCTTATGATACTCTAAATAGCAAACAAGTAATCCAAAATATAGACCAGGCAAAAATTATTGGGAATCCCCCTTCACTGTCCCTGGTCTCTTCCCTCTCCCTTGTGAAACTTTGTCACAGTACCATTTTGCACATCAATAAAATCCCACTGGGCTATCTTACAAGTTATTCAAAAGGGATTTATTTATGACCATGTAAGGAGAGAGAATCCAGGAGAGAGAGAGAGAGGAAACAGTTATTTCTTACACCCAGTCAACCTTTTAGATGTTATCAATGCCATGAATGTGAGATACTGTACCAGAGCTGGCCTTATATATATCTAGAAGAGATAACTAGCTAAAAACTAGTGAGAGCTGAGTTGGTGTTTCTTATGAAGCAGTAATGATAAAAGGGTAAATTATACACCATGAAAAGATGTAAGTTTTATCATTACTTATATATATTTTTTCTTATTGGAGGGAGGGGGGGTTATATTCGTGTTAGCAGACTCTATRTAGGTACTGTATCTCCTCTGGCTTCAACTACAGTACTGTACATCCCTCATCCCCAAAACTATCTGTATTTCTGCCATTCATCTATCCTCCATAAACCTCTCACGAGCTTCTTAAGGTTTAGGAACGTTTATAGGAAAGTAAAATGAGCATGCGGTTACTTTTTTTCTGCTATATTTTTGAAAGCCTACCTTTTATTAACTGTAGATGCAGTAGACAAACCAGCCCCAGCTTTCTTGATGGGCTTTCTCGTGCTGTTGAAGCAGAGATTAATAAAATTAGTTAAAATAAGTCTAATATAAGCTAAGAAAATAGTCGCAAGCAGTACCCTAGAAGAGTGTTACTGTGTTTTATTATTTAATTCTGCAAAGAACGTGCGTGATATGGAAAAAGAACATGTCTGATATGATGGGTACTATAGGCTTTAGAGAGAGTTTGAGCATCACTTATCAGTAGGCTAAGCATCTGATATGGCTTTGCATTTTGACTCGTCACTTGTAAAAATACACAGCCGTATCAGATGCTTAGCCGACTGATAACCTCTATTTACAGTTTCCGTCTTCCCCACGTTAATAATATATTTTTGCTCGTTTTTATGATCATTCTTATCATAAGAATAGTATTATATCCCTCAAAATGCATTACAGAAAAGAATTGGCATTTYTATAGTTTCATTTACAGAGCATAAAACCTGTATTTTCAAATCGAAAACCCAAAACAACGCATGAACAACAACTACAACGTTCACCAACCTTCGTTCGTTGATGTTTTTCTTGGCCAATCTTGCTTCACCTGCAGTGGGCATGGTGCTTTGATCTCAGTTGTTCTCGTGTATGTGCTCTTTGAGAGCTTAAAGCTCATTCCGTTTATAAAAGAATTTTAAAATCCCTAAAACTGCTTTACAATCGAGTGAATTCTTCRACCATTCTGTTGATAATGGCTTCCATGCGTTGAATTTCCCAGACCGTTGAGTGACAGCCAATCACAACACGCCATTCCATAGCAATGGTCGCGTTGCTAAGAGACACAGGGAACCCAAGACTAATTTTCACTAATCTGAACGAACACTGAGAATATTAGTCAAAAAAAGATCATTTTTCATTTTTTCCTGTTCGCTCATATTCCTAGCACACTTCCTTGACAAAATACAGGAAAATTTATCATTTTCTGATTTTTTGTTCCACTTTTGTCAAAATTGGGCTTCCTGTGTTTAAGCTTGAAAAAAGGATCGGAGTATCAGTTCAAAAAATTATAGAAAATGGAATTATGATCATATAATGACGGTTTAGAGTATGCTCGGCAAACGTAATGATGGAAGAAAGAAGGGAGTAAGACGGAGGAAAAAGCAGGGAGAAACTAGTTATRAGGAAGACCGGAGCAGGGTGAAAAATACGGAAAGAATCTTTGATTGAAAAAAGAGGACTAAAAGTCATTGAAAGAAAAAAAGAATTCAAATTCCAAAGAATGAAAAAAAGCTCCCTTCCTATGAGCTTATTGCACTACAATGAAGGACTCCTAAAAGGATATATTGATATTAAGGAATCAAGGGCGGTGTGGCGATTGGGGTTCGATTCCTCGTATAACACAGCTAATTCAAGTGAAACGTTATCGCGTCGGACATCATCGCGTCGTAGATCTTTTTATACACAGGCAGCCCAAACTCGGTTTTTATCTGTATGAATAAGATGCGAACCATTCTTAATTTGTGATAAAATCGTTCAATAGACTTGTATGGAACTTCTTGTGTCTATTTTAGTTGTGAATAAAGAATGATTCATACATATCGAATTTTCGTATGCATACAGACAAAAACCGACTGCTTTAGTATTATCTCATTTGCATGCATCCATAATAACTGCTATTCTCGACTTTCACATCCCCATAATGCMTTGCGTCTTTGTGGGGTAACCAATCAAAAAACTGTCCCAAATTGAAAGGTTTCTTAATTGAATTTATATTATACCTGCTTTTATCTGTACAGTACTGATTATCAGTTTATTCCAAGTTATTTTTGCGTTTACAGATCATCAAGAGTTTTGGTCTTACAGAAAATGTATTGACTTACGAAAAAAATGTTTAAAATTTTCCTTAAACGTCTTCAAGCTTTTATCTTTTTCTGTTTTTTACTTCTTCATTTTATCTTTGGATACCAAACTAGGTATTTTCAACATTGTCTGATCAGCCTTCAGCAAAATGAGTGGGTTTTTACCCTCTGGTTACCCCYCAAAGACGCAAAGTATTATGGGATGTGAAAGTCGAGAATTGGTGAACAACATGTAGTCTAATGTGCACTTACCATCATGTGTGAGCCGATAGAGTTGGTTAGGTTTTGCGTCCCTTGGTTTTAGCTGGGGTTTTTTCCTGAGTAGTTTGCGGCTTTCCTCGCTCGG